GCTACAGAGATTAGTTGAGCAGGAGGAGGAGGAGCAGGAGCTGCAAGACTTAAGAGAGTTTTGAGAACTGCGTTAAGGGAAATTAATTGAAATTAAATGGCTAATAGATTCATTTAACATATGTAATTTTATCGTGCAGTAAAAAATAGATTTGATAAATAATTTTATAAATTTTCAATAAATTAATTTAATTTAATGTGTACTTTTATATAGTAGAAAATATATTAATAATAAAATGAAAACTTTAATAAATTAATTTAACATGCATAGTTTTATTTTGCAGTAAAAATAGATTTAATACGTGATTTTATAAATTTTAAATAAATTAATTGTATTTAATGTTTACTTTAAAATTTTAATAATTTAATAAATTAATTTAACATGCATGGTTTTATTTTGCAGTAAAAATAGATTTACTAAATGATTGTATAAATTTTGAGTAAATTTATTTATTATGCATTAGAAAATAGATCATATATATAATTTAATAAATTAATTTAACATGCATAGTTTAATTTTTCAGTAGAAAATAGATTTAATAAATTTTTATAAATTTTATATTATTCAATAAATACATTTATTTATTTTGCAGTTGAAAATAGATATCATATATAATTTTAAAAAATGTATTTTTTTAGTATTTTTTTATTTATTATATTTATTTATAAATATATTTGTCAGTATTTTCTTTATTTGTCACTTTGAGTTTTTTATATTTATATATTTATTAATAGGTAATTATTTTGTTTTGCAGCATAGTTAATTATATTCTAAAAATAAGTATTCAAATTCACGTCGATAGCAATCGAAGTCTACAAAGAGTCGAAGCATTTCTTTGCTATTTGTCGGTAGACGTCGGCTGCTGATTATCTGTGGCTGCAGCGATTTATCAAAAGTCCTGGCATCTTCGCAGTCGCAGTCGCAGTTGCAGTTGCAGTCGAGTGACAACTGCTGAAATGCAGCTCCATCAATGGGGAGACAAATGCTGTTGCTGTTGCTGTTGCTGTTGCTGCGGCCAGTTGTTAGGCGATCAATTGCGACTGTTAACACTTTATCAATATCTGTGGAGAGGCAGCACAGGCGATTGACTTAGAAGGCGGTTTGCTTGACTGAACGGCATCAAAGTGAACCACCGACAGCAGAGATAATACGAAAAAAAGAAGAGAAAAAATACAAAAGAAACAAAAAAATGCAGGTGCCAATGAAAAGTCCCAGGTAAGCAGTAGTCGAGTAGCCGCAGGTATTCGATCTACACAATTCCGTTTTGCACTCCTTGGCTCTTTTCGTCCTCAGCTCGACGCGCCTCGGCGAGATCAGAGCCGGAGCGTGGCTCTGCGGTGCGATAGTGGATCGGCGTTTGGTGGCTCCACCTTTTTGTTGCTGTGGCAAGCCGGCAGCGTTTTCTCCTCTTAATTGACGCCTTGATTTGCAGTCAATTCGTTGCAGTTCATTTTGAAGTCCCCCTCCCCAACGTTCCCTTCACAGACTATCTCTCTTGCTGGCTTCATTAATATGTGCTTACTATTTCTTCTGGCATAAATTTAATCAAGTTCGCTTTAAAAACTATTTTTAATTTACTTTTATATATGTATTTCGTTTCTATTTTTATCTTTTCTTGTTTGTTAATTTACTCAATTGACCCACTTGATAACTACAGTTTGCTTATGAGTCACCCTGTTGTTGCTGTTATTCGCTTGCGGCATTCGTATGGGCTAAAGCGACAGCAGAATTCAGCAAGCAGTCGTGGCCGAGCGGTTAAGGCGTCTGACTAGAAATCAGATTCCCTCTGGGAGCGTAGGTTCGAATCCTACCGGCTGCGAATGGAAGAGATTCTTTTTTATATTTTTAAAAAATTATTTTTATTGTATTTATAAACGCCTATTCGTATTTACTAAAAGTATTGTTCTTTTATTTATATATATTTATTTACACTCGGAGAATCCCTGACTTACGTTATATAAATATACATGCATAAACTGTGCAAAACTCTTTTAGTGAATGTAACAAACTTAAACTTAAAACTTGTGTTAAAGCAGTTGCCTGACAAAAGCTGAATGCTACGAAACTCGATGGAAACCTCTTTAATCTCAAAGACTGAATATTGAATGTTGTGAAAATATTGATCACACTGCTCCCTAAATAGTAAACAGAATCTAATTCACATAAATGTATGGTTTAGGGTTTCTATGGAATCTATGGCAGGAGCTATATGCTCTGTGACAGAAGCTGAATGATATGGCACTCGATGGAAGGTAAGCTTCTGAAATTTGTGGTAGTATTGATCATAATTGCTTGCGACATAACATAATTGTAAAGCCACATAGCCACAGAAATTATTATAAAACAGTAGGCTAACTCTTCTAGTGAGGGTTGCAAAGGAAACTTAAAACTTGAGTTAAGGCCGATGCATGACAAAAGCTGAATGCTACGAAACTCGGCGGAAGGTACATCAACGTAAATGACTTATAAATATGAAGCTTATGTAAATATTGATCCTCATTGCCCACAAAATAGAAAACATAATTATATTATTTACAGAATTAACTTAGTTTAGGTCTTCTAGCATTTATCACAGAAGCTAATCGAGATCGATAACTATTTATCGATTTCGATAATTATTCATCGATTTCAATAACTGTTTATCGATTTCGATAACTATTTATTGAACTCTGTCACTCTAATAAGATTCAGACAGGCCTTGTTTTACGTTTTATAAATATATATACATAAACTGTGCAAAACTCTTCTCGTGAATGTGACGAAATATAAAATTTGAGTTAAGGCCGATGCATGACAAAAGCTGAATGCTATGAAACTCGGCGGAAGGGATACAATGTACAAGACTAATTAATTTGAAGCCTGTGTAAATATTGATTCTCGTTGCCATCGGAATAGAAAACATAATCATATAATTCACAGAATTAACTTAGTTTAGATCTTCTAACATATATCACAAAAACTAATCGAAGTATTGCCCTTAGCTGTCCATAATTAAAATTATTTATTATTCACTAGTATTGACTATAGTTTGCGATCCCTGTATCCCTGTCTCTTTCATATAAATTATATTTTATTTTATTGCCTTAAATCTAAAGAGCAAACAAATTTAACCTTCATTGTATCATAGTTAAATAAATTTCTCGCTTATAAAGTCATTTGCATTCCTGTAATCTTTGCTTAGACCTGTAGTTAATTTACTCGCAAATAATGAAAAAGAATGTGAGGGAAATTTTGACCTGAACTATCAGTAGTATTCCTGTAGTTGTTAAGTTAATGTGTGTAATTATATGATTTAACAAGTTGGCGTATAATTCTCTGATATGTTGCAGCTCCTCAGTTGCGGCTAATGCGATATTCCAATCGCTTCATTCTTGCAACACGTACCACACGCCATTCCAAAGCTATTTACGCTGCCATTCAAGCTGGAGCTGGATAACAATCTGTGGTTAATCTATAATTGGGCTCATTAGTATTTGCCTTTTAAATAAATTGATTAACCCATCAAATAAAGAGAGAGAGGGAGGGAGGGAGGTGAGGCAGGGAGCAGAAGCAGCTAGCCAAGTCTCACTTCCAGCTGCGAGTTATGTAATTACAAGCTGAATTCTCTACTGCTGCTGCTGCTGGTGTTCAATTTGACTTCACGCGTTGCTCAAGTGGCAACTGTCCGAGGCGAAATGGCAAAAGCTGCCACATGCTGCACAATAATCAACGATGGTAGGCAGACAGACACACGCACACACATAGAGAGTGAGAGAGAGAAGCCTCTAATTAAAAATAACAGAAAAATATAGGTTACACCTCGACAAAGACCGTTGCATGGCGAGCAGGCAGCAAAAGGCAGCAGCAGGAGGAGGAGGAGGAGCAGCTACAGCAGCAGCAGCAGCAGCAATATCAGCGGCAGCAGGAGTCGGGCAGGTGTTTGGTGGGGCCAGGCAACGCTAACCAAGTAATGGGAAACATTTTCATCAAAGCAAATACGCAGCGGGCGCAGCGAGGGGAGGCGACACGGCGCTGCCGGAGTCTGTGGGCTGGGCAAGTGGCACTTATCATGCATGCGCCAAGTGAAAGAAGCAGCCACACACACACACGCACACGCACACAGGGAGAGAGAGAGGGACACGTATACACCAAAAAAAAAAACCGACGTAATGGGCTGTAATTACGTGCTGCAGTTGCATGAAGCAGCAAGCAACTGGAAAAAGGAATGCCCCTAACCGAGACGAGACAACGTCTTTGAGTCTTCCACTCTTCGACGCTGCGAGTCTTTGAGTCTTCGTGTCTCCAGTCTCGATGCGGCCTGTCCGCTGTCTTTTATAGAAAATTAAAGCCTAAATATGCCAGTGCAAAATTTACGATGTGTTTACGATGTCTTAAATTATTGGTTACCCTAATGCGTGGCAGCAACGCGAACTTCATTTACCTTACCTCAGCACTTCTTCTTCTTCTTGCAGTGGTGGGCAAAGCCATCGATCCACATCAAATGACAGTCCCTATCATCCAAATGGAAACAGTTTTTCTTTTTTGTGATCTGTGGGAGATATAAATACATACATATATATTATTAAGTCTGCTTATCTATCTTTAAACTCATTTGTTGACGTAGTCAAGAAAGCGAAATTTTAATAATAGGCGCTTGTTTAGAGATGTGCAACGATGGCTTTACGAATTTTGAATTTTGAGCAGTTTTTAATACGGGATTTTTTTTTGTTAAATATAATTGCTATCTTTCAATAATTTTTAATAATTAATTACTTACATGTTAATAAAAAAATTAATCAATAATAATATATAATATGATATATAAGTAAAAAATAATAAAATAATAAAATTAGCAATACTCATTTGTAACTTTTCAGAATTTTTAAAGTTTTTCAAATAACATGACGTAAGAATATTTATTTTGATCTATTTACTATTTATACATATGCACGTATCCATTCATCCAAGTAGGCCTTGACACCTATGTCAATGGAAGTGCCTTGCTGTTCGATTGTGTGAATGTGTCAAGCGCAGTTTGATTAAGAATAACTAAAATAACAAACCAAAAATTAAAAAAAAATCCAAATTTTTTTGATAACATGGAAAACGAAATGCCTATTGACATTGAATCTGAGAACTCGGACGGTGCAATGACAAGTGAAACGGATAATCCGGAACAAGGTACAAGTAATATGCCCGTTAAGCATATGCTGCTTCAACAGATATCGATCAGCAAATACGGCCAACTCGTGAAGCAGAGCCGAGAAGAGCTGCTCGTTGAGCAGAGCTCAGGATCTGAGCCAGTGCAGCATAAGGGCATACTTGTAGAGGTAGATATACACTAAAAATATATGTAAAGATATTACTAATACAAAGTCTTACTTGCAGAAGGGAATTATGGAATACACAGATGGTTATGAGCTAATCGGAGATTGTGGAACCACAGAAAATGCGGAGGAAATGGTGCATCAGACACGAGATGAATTTGTTGAGCAATTGTGCTCGGATCCCAAGTACGCACACGTCAAGGGCGTACTTATAGAGGTATTATCTATGATATTATCTACTAAAATTGTAATATAGTTTTATTTAATAGAAGGGAATACTCGAAGACAGCAGTGACCCAGATGCAGATCAAGACCGCTATGTGGAAACTAGCTCAGATCTGGGTTCTTTGGAAAAGGAACTAGAGGAGTATTGTCGAACAACGACAAAGCGTCCGGTGGATATGCCTACCAGTATAGAAGATATGATGATCTACATCAATGAGTTTACGGAGGGCTTGGGTACCAAATCAGATGTCAAGGATTGGGACAAGTTTCGTAGTTGTATACGTGAGGTTTATGACTATCACCTGAATAAAAAATCGGAACATGAAAATGTTGAAGAAAATGCGGAAGAAAATGCGGATGAGCAGACTCATAATAACGGACTGGATCTGAAAAAAGATCTAACGCGAGTCGAGTTGGATATTGTGAAGATGATGCAGCCATTGAATGAGCTCATCCAACGATCACAGCAGCTAACTAGTAGCATTGAATCCATTGAGAATAAGATCAGTCGATTGGATCTCAAAGTGGACAGTTTCTACATCAGATATAATGAAAATCTACAGAAAAGGGAGCAATCCTTCGAAGAGATGCTGGCGCTGCAGAGATTGCGTGAACGAATCGGCGAGAGGTTGACAAAAATCGAAACGGAAATTCATACATCCAAAACTCTATTACTCCAGGGGCGTGAGCAGAAGAATTAAAAAACAATAAAAAATCAAGGAAATGAGGCTCGTTAGTGAAATTGTAGGTATGCCGCCCTCTGAAAAGCATCGAAAAGGTCTCTCTCTCTCTCCGCGGCTCTCTCTCGCTCTCTCCCTGTTTACCTCGGTAAAGTGAGGAAATCAGTAGCTCTTCCATCAGCATCCAGCAATTACACTTATGAGCCCCCATTCCAAATGCAATTACTCTGATTATGGACCTTGTTGTTGCACTTTGCGTATGTCGTTATAACTGATCTGACAAACCAAAGTCTCGTTTCATGTGGGCACTCAAATTCTGTGTATGTCTTCACCAATTCACATTAAGCAATAAATATCGAAATGTTTATGAATTATGTGCTAAAAAGTCGTCAACTATTGTGGAGGGGGGGGTGTTATTATGGGTCTATTAATTATTTGAGGCAGGCACTGAGGCGTTAGTCAAATAACTTCCAGCTCCAACTCTTGGGTATTTAGCAGCTACATTTTGCTGTAGCTCAAGGGGGCTTAGGCTTGTTTAGAGAAGGTAGTTGTAGTTGTGGCTCTATTAAGAAGAAACTTCCCCTGGTGTACTATCAGAGTTCTTTTAATTACTGTGACTCAATATAATCGTACTTGATCTCGCTGTATATACATATTTGGATTTCTTTCAGGTCTTGATCTGATTCATATTTGATAACGTTATCAGGCTGTGGGAGTAGTAGCAGTAGAAGAAAGTATTGCTCTACTCTTGATAGGAGTTTAGCATTTAATTTACATTAGGAACATTTAGTATTCATACAAAATTCTTAAACCGACGAAGTTGGCTTTTCATATATACATAATACAAATTTTCTTATTTATTTATCGCACGTAGCATTTTTTCAAAATTATTTCGTCTTTATTAGATTTTAATGTCGTTTCTCAACAGAATTGGGACATCGATTCATTTGTTTCGGCATGCAGAATTTCGTCTGTGAAATCCTCGCAACGGACTTGTACTCGGGCTTGGTAGCGCTGAACCGTCGATATATACAGCGCCACAAGTTCCAGCCGCTGCGACCGGCGCTGCCCGAGAAAAATGTCGTGCCACAAAGATTGGGCCTTAATGACTATCGACGGTATCATAAGGGAGATGAGTCTGAGCTCTACACTTACGGGCAAGAGCGAAACAATGACGTGGTTGCCCGCCAAGAAGAGTCTGCCCCTGTGGAGTCGGCGACTACCTCGGCGGGAATTGCCTAAAAAGTGGCACGCATTCGATGTGGAGGTGCCCGAGCATCTGTGGACCCTGTGGGGCGGAGTGCATCCGCGCTCCAGCTGCTTCGACAGCCAGGTGAGGGGACGCCAGACCCTGGCCTGCTGTGTGGTTGCCTGCTGTGCGGCGAGCATCTACCGCAGCCTCAAGGAGTGGACGCCCAAGTTCCTCGACGCCATTGTCATCAGTGGCGATAAATACTATCGGGCGAGCATGCTGACTAGCCGGGGCCCGTACGACCTGTCGCTCGAGTGCGACTTCCATGGCATTGACTTCCTCGTCCAGCTGCAGCTGGTGGCCTATGGCCAGCTCTACAGTGCCCCAGCTGGCAAGGTTATGGGGCTCTACGAGGCACTCAACTACTTCTTCACGCGCTATCAGCACGGCCTGGTCAAATGCCTGGGGCAGCACTTCGCGTTTGGCTACTCCTCCTGCCGGGATGGCGGCTACTTTCTCTACGACTGCAGTGCCTGGGACAAGCCTCTATTTCCCGACAACATGGGCGCCTCCTATGTGCTGCGCAGCAAGCAGCTCCTGCTCCTCGCCTACTGCATGGTGATTACCCTCAACATAAGACAGCTTGGTATAGATTTTCAAATTTTTAGCGTACAGGCAAATCGAGCAATGAACTAGGGATTCGCTCTAGCATTTAGAAATTATTATCTAAGTAAGTAAAATAAAGACGAAATAATGCAAAATGAGACGAAGGCATTTTACTTTACTTATTTCCAATCAGCAAGAGAAATGGTGATAATAGAGTTAATTATATAATTCTTAAATCCATAAATGATATGCATAGTTCTATAGAGTCTATAAGTATTTCAGGAAGATATAGAAACAGCAATTATGTAAGGGAATGTCAAATATCTCTTCCTTCTATCTCACCCTGCTCGTCTTCTCCCCAATTTACTTATATTTTTCTGTCTAGCCATCTCTTCTCATCTCTTTTAATTACTCTGCCACTCAGCTATTATATACCTTCTCAACTGCTATGATTATATGAGATAATCTATAGTTTACCTATCTAATGAAAAACTGTCTTTCTTTTTCACAAGGAAGACCTAAGCTGCCTTCTGTTGGCTTTGACTTGAGAAACTCTTGCCTCAAAGCCAACCGCCAACTAATCAAAGGCTGCATTTCAACTTCTTTCAGAGTCTCAGTCCACAGAGAGAGGATAACCCTTTGGATTGCTTGAAAGTTCAAAGAGCTTATCGTCGAGCAGGAAGCAAGTGTTGTTATCTGCAGGCATTCAGGTTTTTCTTGCACTCCACTCATTCATGGCATTCCTTGGGGCTGCAAAGCTGCTCGAGTTAGGAGTTAAGAGGAGCCAATGAGTCTGTGTTGTCCCTTAAAAATCTTTGCATTAGGTAATCAAAATAGCATTGCATTCAGCCCTTGGCTCATTCAAGAAATTCCAGAGACCAGAGCGAAACCAGTTTTATGTCAAAACCAAAACAAAGTTATTTCCAAGTTCTTTTCTCTCTTATTTCTGATGCTCTGCTACAAAATAAAAATAAAACCAAAAGACCAAAAAACCAAAAAATAAAAGAAGAGAGCACATCTACTACGTAAGTACACAAAATACTACACGGAAACTGTGAATCAGGTAACGAACTAAATGAAAACAAAGAGTAGAAATTAAGACCGAATTGCAGTCGGAACCAAATAAACCAAAATAAGGCGAAACACAATAAAACTGCATTCCAAAAACTCAGTCAAATGTGCAAAAAAAGAGCCAAAAACAAAATACAAAATAATGAAAAAGGCAAGACAAACTTCTAAAAAATGAGAAAAAAAAAGACGAACAAAAAAAATCCAATAAGAAATCCGGTTTCGTTTTCAACCAGAACGAGAGTTGGGAGTTTGAAAGGTTGCGACGCGCTGCTCGTTTTGCTCGTAACTCTGCGCTTGCCCATAAAACGGGGCACAGCCAGCATGCAGAAAGATTCACCGACTGCTCGTGTGCCGTGCCGAGGGGAGCGGCACGGGGGTTGTTTTGAAGTGCTGTTATGAAGAGGGCTAACCAAACGAAGTTGGCCAAAAAGTGCAAAAGGCAGCAAAACTCTCTGATAAATTGCAGGAGACGAACTTGAAATTTAGATTTCGAGAGCAACCGCAAAATGTTGCCAGAACGCTGACAGCGACAGCGACAGCGGCGCTGACGTCGGAGTCGGCTGCGAGGCGTCGCTGTCGCGACGCAGTTGCCATGTAGCGCAGCGCAACGACTGCACGCGAGCGAACGAGTTGAGAGCGCACATATAACTGCAGCTTGGGGGCGTTTTGGCATGTATTGGTGAGCCAAGCAGAGAGACAGAGAGAGAGAGGAAGAACGAGAGCGAGAGACTGAGAGCCAACTCGTTGGAGCTGAGGCTGCTGTGTCCGTGGAGTTTCTTTTATGCACACAAAAGCACAAAACATACACACACACACAGTCAAATATGATTGCAGTTTTTATTGGCATTGTTAATGGCTGTGTGCGTGCTTCTGTGTGTGAGTGTAAAGGGTTGAGTTGCGCTGCGCTGTCTGTGTGTCTGAGCTGCGCTGCATTGGTAGTAGTTGCAGCGCCATGCTCATGTGTCTCTATGTCCGTGTGTGTTTGTGTGTGTGTGTGTGTGTGAGGCAGGAGCATTTTATTGATTTTTGTGCGGACAAAAAAGTTTGCATGCGATTTAGTTTTTTGGCAACGATAAAATGTGGGGTAGAACGAAGTGGAACGAGTAGATTCGTGGCGGAACATTTAATGTTACTGCTAGAATCAACTAATGTTAAATAATTTATGGGCGCAAAGTTTATTTGTATAAAGTTTATTACATGCAAATACTGCCCGCATAATTTGACAGTTGCTTTACCCTATTTCGGCAGCACGCCTGCTCTCTCTGTCGCACTCACACTCATTGGCGAACGGCAGGCAAAAGTGCAACCGAAATATTTTTTTAGAGCAGCCCTGCAGATAACTGTAATGCAGGTAGCTCTCACTCTCTTCTCTCGCTCTCTATCTGTTTCTTCTTCTTTGGCGCTCTCTTTTAGAACTACTGTTCGGAGTTTTTGCAATGTTCGCAAGATAAACTTTTATTAAAGCTTTCGGAATAGCAGAAAAACTTAGCTACATTTATAAGCGCCATCAATTCGCACCTTAAGCCATGCCAATTGAGCGGGGATAAAAAAGGTTTACTCTACACACTGACAACCTTTTGGCCCACAAATCCCACCACGTTCCAGCGCTCTGTGGCTGTTAGCTGACCAACTAAACTTGGCGCAGCGTCGAGCGACCCGCAGCCAAAAGCCAATGAATAGCCCAGCGGGCAAATGCAAAAATGGAATGCAAAAAACTCTAAAGATGCACACCAAACGAAGTTCGAGGTCATTGCATTGCACACACACACTAAAACACACACAAATAAATAAAACAACAAATGAATCGAGTCCCCCTCGTAACGCTCTCGTGCCTCATGGGAAACGGGGGGAGAGCTGAAAAAGTTCCAGTCAAAATTGCAAATAAAGTAAATGGAAATGACTAAAAAAGTGAAATCCACAAAAAACGACCACGGCATCCAGCTATAGCAACAGCAACAGCAACAACAACAACAACAGTTACAGCGGCCAACTGCAGTTTGCAGAGCTTTGATTGTTGTAGTTGTTGCTGCGCAGCCTGCGGAGGAGTTAGCGACGCGGCGACTGCCATTTGGCACAAAAGAAGAAAAAGCGATAAAAAAAAATCGTGCACAAAAAAAAACTATGTGTTCGGCGAATGACACACAAAACAAGTAAGAATTATGAAGCGTGAAGTGCATGACGCGGATTTACCCTGCAAACCGAAATGTTTTAGGAGTGTGTAGTAATAGCTAAGCAAAATTAAAAATTATTAATTATTTATGTACATATGTATATGGCAAAATAAATCGCTTGAAATGTTCACTGTTCATATGTGTATAAATAATAATTGTAGCTATTCAAGCGTGAGTTTATCAGTAATTAAGGCAGTGTATACTTTGCTTGCCATTAACTGCGTGCAGGGTATACAAAAGCACAGCAGCAAAAAAGCGCAATTCAAGAAGATTAATGTTACTGTTCAAGGATATTTCGCTCTATGCTATGCTTAAGCTTTGCGCTGCCAGCAAATGAAAAGCAACAAAAAAAGCAAGAAGCGAGAGTGCTCGAATAGCTGATACCCAGTAAGACAGGCTGAGCTGCTCTCAATGAACTTTGTGTTCATTTCAATTTTGTTGTTGTCATATTTTAAATTTTTTATAACTTTGCCATTAAGTTGATCTGCTGGCTGAAAGATTTTTAGGCTTAAGGCTACTAGTTACCAAAATTGAGATATGAAGCAACTTTAGTTAATGCCATGGCAACTCCCTGCTAATATTATAGTCTCAACAATCTGTAACTGCCACGCCTTGAAGCTGCTGTTGCTGCTAGGCATCAAGTGGAGTGTGGAGCACCCACTCTACAGACCCAAACTACACACACACACACACGCATCACATACACGACACACTCTCACACTTAGATTTTAATGACTAAGCGTCGCCTTTACAGCTACTGCTTAACGACCAACGGCCGTCTGTGGCTACCACAGCCCCTTCCCCTCCCTGTTTTTAGCTGATTGTTTTTAACGAGCGCAGACGTTAGGCCTACTAACACTCCCATGCTCGCATCTCCTCTATTCCCTCCTCTCTTCGCTCTTTGGCTTTGTGGATGAGGTGCCACAGCAGCACAGTTCAAAACTTTGTCTGCGTAGGCGTAAACGCTTCTACTGAACTACTACCCCGCCCTCTTTTTCTGTGCACTTCTCTCTTCCTCTCTCTCGCTCCCTCTGCCATCTCTTCTCCGTCCATTTGGCAACTGGTCAGCCAGCAGTTCCGAGCTTCAACTGCCAACTGACTGACTCACTTAATGACTGAGCGGCGAAGCGTGCCCCGAAACGGCAGCAGTTACTCCTGTTATTGCCTTAGCTCCACCTCTGCCCCCGCAAGCTCCTCACACTTCCACAATACTCGCGCTGCGGCTTAATGACGCATGACTGCGAATTTTGCATTCAGTTCGTGTTTAGTTTTGCGGTTTTGCCTTTTGCCTTTTGCCTGGCTGCGTTCAACTGCAGACAAAGAGAAACAGAACGAAGAGCCCCAGACGAACGTAGAGCGTACGGAGTTTTTATGTTCAGTTGCCCATTGATTTGATGGGGAGGGGTAGCTGGAAATTATGCAAGTGCATGTGATGGGTTATAAAAATAATTAACATTGTTTATATTATGTTACTTGTAATAGGCATAATTATGATGATTATCATGATATTAAAAATAATGATAATGGTAATGAGAATTATCATATAAACTACGATAATGTTAAGAAGTGGAAAATTAATAATAAATTTGAATTAATTATGATAGCGCTAACTATGTGTAACTACTAATAAAATTGATATAATTGAAAATAATATAAATATATGTACATATGTATCATTCTAATATTTCAAGTAATAATCTAATTTATTGTAATTGTAATTATGTTGTCTTAATCTTAAATAGTTAACTCAAAACTTCTTGGTGTATCAAAATATAGGGTATCTTCTAGCTTACTCCCTTCCCTTCTTCAGTCCGCTTTACGTATTCAAACTCTTTTTATGATTTTGCG